CTGTACTGTATTAAAGCTTTAATCAGGATAAAACCGTATATTAAAAGCTAACATAAGCAGTAGCATTTACAAATAACAGCGTATCTAAAAGTATGAGACAACAACAAACAAAAAACATAGGCCTACCATTAAGAGCCGTGCTTGCACAGGTTCTGCACGATCCTCTTCAATAATATCCTCTGCTTCTCAATCAGGCTCTGATTGAAACTGATAAGCGATATTAACGACGCCGTTGTTCACAATACAACCGGAGCGCATGCCGCTGAGATGAGGGGCGGGACGTTTAGATGCGCACTAGAGGCGGTTTAGCCAATCACAACACACTGGTCTAGCTAACCAATCAGTCAGAGCCCATCGCCTATTTCTGAGGGAGGGGCTTCATAAAAGAAGGAAATGATCAGCCCGTTTCTCAGAGAAGGGACAGAGCGGTGTGCAATAAAGGTAAATTATGTGAAAAATAATGTTTTTTTTTGTTTTTTTTTAAACGAAGCATTAACACGTTAGACTGCACCCCATAAACACAATCAAGCCTAGAAAAAAAACAGTGAACCACCCCTTTAAAAAAAATTAAAAAATCACAATAATCCATAATCAATCAACACGACTCCATCAATTAACATCTTGTGACGTGAAAAGCTGCATGTTTGGATGGAAATTTTGTGTGCCATTCAAATGCATAAATCTTTCATTTAGAGCTAAATATTGGTGGGTGTATATTGTATTATGTATATTGTAAATTTCCTTGTTTTTGTTTTCCAGAACTCAAACAAGCACAGACTATGATGAATGCACTACAGTGAACCAGTCAGCATTTGTTGAATAATATTGCTGAAATGTGTACAGAATCTGTTCGTGTTTATAAACTGTGCTTCTAAAACAAAAAATCTATCAGTATGCATTTTGTAAGCTCTTCACATGATTAGTCAAAATGTTAACTAATGTTGCTCAAATTGAGCAACCGACTTTTTGGACCAAATGTCACTATAAATGGAATTTGTCACTTGTTTGTCAGTGTCATCCAGAGAATAAACAGCTCTTAGTGATTTATCTCACCTCATGTATTTGTCTTAAAAATGTTAATATCATGTGTATTTTTATAAAAATTTAAATTTAGTAAAATCATAATTAAAATTGTGTATTTTTATCACATTGCTGCATATTTCAGAACCCTTGAAGATAGATACAATTTATTTAGTTTAGTTTTGTTTTGTTGCTACTAATTAATGAGAATACTATGGGAATGGCCTATCTTTAAAATGTGAATAGATGCTATTTAGAGTTTATTCCAGTTTAATTCTTAAAAATTCACTGTTACATTTATATTGTAGTGATGTTTTTTTACCTCTTGGCCTTGAGGATATCTATTCAGACCAGTTGGAAAACTTCAGTCGTGGGAATACACTGGTTTCCTCAGGGGGGAAACTGTATATGAACTAATTCAATTGAGAGTTTGGTTTAAAGTAAATATTCAGACTGTCCACGGATTCCCAGAGTAAGAAAAAACACCTAGAAATAAACTACAACTCCCATGATCCTCACGTGTCCGTTTCATAAACAGCATTTGCGCTGCGACTTTCCCTGATTATAAAACGAGCTTGAGGAGCAAAGGTTGGTTGGTGCACGATTCGCTTCAGTTAATTTAATCATCGATTATGATCATGATCCTACTTTCTATTTTGGAGCACACGTAGCTAAGCACAATTCATGAACTTTGCATGTAGCAACCTATGCATGTACTTGCTCAGCACTTGAGCAGACTTTCATAACAGCATCGTTCAGCATGAGGGAAAGATTTCCTGAAATCTAGCACAGAACGCCTGTCAGATGCTTTTCATTAGTTTACACATATTCATGTACGAGTATGAATGCTATTATTGTCCACTTATTACTTACTGTTTACTTTGTTGTGTTTTTATATTTTAACCATTAGAGGCACAAATACGGTTACTAAATGATTTCCACTATTATAAAAAATAAAATAAAGTTGTAACAAAGGGCGGGAAGACAAATCATTAAATTTTTCTAAATATTTACACAGGCTGTAGAGGTGACTTGAGCTCAACTTTCAATCCTGTTACTCAAGTTATAAGAAGAAGAATTTTTTCCCCCCCTCATTAATTTATAGAAAATATAAATGTATTAGTTACTAAGGACCCTTTTTCCCCCCCCAAAAAGCGAACTCAACATAACTCATGATTGAGGCTAAAAGTTCAACTCTGTTACCCATTTGGTCATAAAAGTGTTCCTTTCTGTCTTTTTATAATTTATGTCTATTCATTTTGTATGTTTATGTAAAGATTATTCATAGAAAACTGCACAAAAAAAGGTATTGAAATGTATTTAGATTTTTAGACAAATTGTGGTTAAAGAGTTGCTAAAATATTAAGAAATTTAGTTTGAAAACAATTTAGTTTGACCTCCTGAGGTTTAAAATCTGAAGGTTAAGCACCTCTTTTTACTTATCACCTGTTGAAAAAGAAAAAAAAGTTACAACATCTGAACCCTTTTGCTTTCTTATGTTTAGGTTTTTAGTGCCCTATCTTCATTTCCTGTTCAAGAATGCCAGAAGGCCCTGAGCTCCATTTGGCCAGCCTGTATGTCAACAAGATGTGTGAAGGGCTTGTGTTTAGTGGAGCCGTAGAGAAATCTGAAGTGAATAAAAATCCTGAGGTCCCATTCTGCTGCGATACCTACTGCATCAAAGCCCACTCCAGAGGAAAAGAGGTCACTCACACCCACGCCCATTAAAAATGATGACGACGGTAAACGCAAGGCCAGTAAACATCAGTCCCAGCAGCCGATGGATGTGGTTTTCCGATTTGGGATGTCAGGTTTTGTCCGCTTCACCTCAGTAGACGATCTTCCGAAACACGCCCATCTGTGGTTCTACACTAAAGAGAGCCCACGCAGGGTGTTGAGTTTTGAGGACACCCTCAGATTTGGCGGCTGACATCCAAATGGGACCTGGCAAAAAGACAGGTTTTTTTTTTTTTAGATATTGTGGTGTTCTAGTCTCTTATTTTGGGTTGGGCACCACCCGTATAATGTTATGTCATGGAAATTGTTAAAGGGGTCATATGATGCTGCTGAAAAGAACATTATTTTTGTGTATTTGGTGTAATGAAATGTGTTTATGTGGTTTAAGGTTCAAAAAACACATTATTTTCCACATACTGTACACATACACATACATTCCACATACTCTCCTCTATGCCCCGCCTTTCTGAAACGCGTCGATTTTTACAAAGCTCATCGGTCTGAAAAGTGAGGTGTGCTCTGATTGGCCAGCTATCCAGTGCGTTGTGATTGGCCGAATACCTCAAGCATGTGACGGAAATGTTACGCCCCTCACCATATTGTGATGCCGTGTCCCGGCCTGACTTCTTTATGCACCAAGAGCTTGTAACACTCCAAAGAGAAAGGAAAAATTGAAATCGCATCATATTTAAGGTCCCCTTTAAGGTCAATGCTGATATTGGGCACAATGCAACACTGGTTTTATAGTTTTACGCTGTTTTCGGCGGAGTTGCAATTTATACGAAAGTGTCAGTTTACAGTGCTGTCAACTTATCTGTGACCACTAAAACGGCATATTTAAAGGCACAATATGTAATATTGTTTTATTAAAATATCCAAAAACCACTAGAACAGTGTTATATATTTTGCTGATATGTTGTGCGTTTTAATAGACCGGTGACGACGACCATGATTCCACACCCAGTCACCCAGCTTTTGTCTCTTTGTTTATTTTGAATACACGCCCTCTAGCGGCGAAAATTACATATTGTGCCTTTAACTCTTTCAGGGAGAATGTTCTTTCAAATCTGTCTGACAAGGCATTTGACAAACCCATCTGGAGGCGCACTTAAATCAGAAGTATTTCAACGGGATTGGAAACTTATCTTCGAGCAGAGATTTTGTTCAGGTAACTCACTTTCTAATGTTTTCCAGATTTCAATTACTAGATATGCACCGGTCGACTAGCAATCAATTGGAATCAGACGTTTTTTGCTCCTAACATGCATTTGGCAACTGTCTATTTTGTTTGTTTGTTTTATTTTGGCCAATCTATGTCATTTCCCAAAATGGCAAGATGTCATGTCTGAAAAGTGAAAGTTAATTGTGAAGGAAGTATGAAGACATTCAACACAACAAATTAAATTTTGTGTAGGATTGTCATTTCATTTGATGATAAAATTACATTGACATAATTTGATTTTAAACAAAACTACTGCTGTAGCACCTTTGTTTTACTCATTACATAAATTGATTGCATAGCATATTTTAAAGGATTTTATATATTTTAATTTTATTTAATACTACAAAGTTGAAGTCAAACCATTCAGTTTTTTTTTGCTCAAATTTAAAACAACAAAAACAACTTCTGAAGTTATATTGCATTTCTTGTTCATATACTTTCATTCTTTTTTTGTCTGTTGCTTAAAGGAAAAACGTTTGCAGTCGCTATCGCAATCAGCTCAATTTGCTTGTTAAAAAACGGAATAAAAAAACAAGAACAGTGCATTTCTAAATTAACATGTATCTCAACTTTAAGAATAAAATCACATTGTTTAGTTGAAAAATCCGCCATTATTTTACTCAATTGTACATGAAACCCTTGAACTTTTCCTCTCTTTGATGGCCTACTGCCATGTCAGTCTAAATCTAATTATGAGGAAAAGTAACCGATCCGATAAAAGTATGTCCGTGTAGTTCTCTTTAAATCTTAATTCTATTCCAGGAGACCATTCTGTAACATATTTACAGTTCAATCTGATTTTGTTTCATTGCTTGCTTTGTTTTTAGGGGGATCCTGGTCCTATGGTGCCCAAAGGTAAAATCCCTCTGCAATATAAACAGATGATTGATCCTAAAAATGTTAAAGTCACATGTAACTAAAAATATTCCGGCATTAGGTGCCAAACCTCGCAAAATCAAGTGGAAAGGGCAGAAAGATGATCACGATTACACTGACTCAAAAGTGAGATGCTGGTACTTTGCATTTCTGTCACTTGGGTTCATGAACAGATGCCAGAACTTTAAACAACATCTGCTTCACTCTAGAAAGCCAGAAAGACACGCGCTGACAGCACAGCAAAGAAAAACCTGCTAAGAAAAAAGACAACATAAAGGTAAAGAAAGAAAATGCAACCTCCAAAACACAAAATGCTTCAAAAAGACAGAAAAAAAGCACGAAAAGGGTCAATGCAGAACCTGCAGACAAGAACAAGAAGCCGAAAACACAAGGAAAGAGAAGCTCAAAAGGTCAGAATCTCACATTCACCTTTTATATGGCTACTTGCAGTAACATTAGTATTCAGATCCTGATTACATTGCAATGTTGTCCTTTAAGTTCCTCCAAAAGCTGGAACTAACACAATCAAAGGCCAACATGTGGAGGAAGTGATTAAAACCAAAAGAAATTCTGTAACCTGCAGGAAAAGTGTCTTTTAATACAGAGGCCGACTGTGCTCAGTCAGTTGTTGTGTCTTATGTTAATCACTCTCTGGATTCTATTGTAGCAAAGTCACAGCAGAAAAGTAGTGGCACAAGACGAGGCCGTTCCAAATGATGTCACTCAGACTAAATTATCGGAAGAGGCGAAGTCAGCAAGCTACTGTAATGGACCACCCAGACTTTTTATATTCAGTACGGATTTTTTAATCCTTTTTTGAAGTAAATAAGAAATATATGTATGCAATCAAATATATAAATATGTGTATTTTTGTTGTGTAATATGCCTGCATGTGGCCTTATCTTCTTTTACTTCTAGTGTTTAATCAACCATCTTAACTACCCTTTTCCTAAGATTTCACTAACAAAGAGTTGGAGAAAAAATAACCAAGTAATCCATTTTATTGAAATGTTTTTTTTTTTACAAAAAATAAAGTTTGTGTGAAAAACTTTACTGAGACAGTTTAAAAGTGAAAACGTGTATGAATATCATAAACCACAATTTTCCAAAGTGACAGCAGCTACTTAGGGAAAACAAGTGATTCAAGTACCTGCATCATAATCGATATGCAATTAAATGGATCACTTTATAATTAAG